TATACATGAAAGCAGACCCTCGAATGGCTGTAAGGAAGAATAATGGGGAAATATTTGGTTATCACTGCTCTTTGCATAACATTAATTGAATCTGTGAAATCCTTGTGCTGAGTTCACGGTGTTCGCCACTACGACGGTGCTGCGGGAAATAGAACTGAAAGGGTGTTTTTCTCCTGCATCATACCTCTACAGTAGCAGCTAGTGGGGAAAATTGGATTTTCAACGAAATAATGAGATATCCGGGCTTAAGTCAAGTAGGTCTTACAATAGCGATAAGTCGACTCGTCAGAGAAGGTTAGCATTTTAAACATCTCCAATGGACAGTTCTAGATATCGTTTCTGTGTTCAGTGTCTTGAATCGGTATGACTATGAAAAGCATAATGTTGAGTAGGTTTTTTTTCACTGGAAAGGCAGTTTCGATGCCGAAAAAACACAATCGTAGCCTAGCTTCTACAAAATTTCCCCCCCCCCACGTCCGAGTGACTGCAACTCACAACCCGCGCTTAATCATTCCTGACTTTGTTTTATATTTGCTAAACTTGCCCAATTCATTCCGATGTAATATATAATTGATAAAGCCTGTTAATATTACTTGTGTCGAGGCCAAAATGAATGCAGTCAATATTGAAAGCCATACTAACTTAGGGAAGTGAAATTACAGATGGGTTGAAAAAGATTTTTATTACATGCAGCGTTAGGACATTTAATGCATCGGTGACTGCAATCGATTTGGCGATCTTAGCATGTTTATTATACGACTTTGAACTAATTTGCCTGTATTCTGTTGTGTTTTGTTTTGTTTTGTGAATAAAAGACAAACATAGGAAAACGTAACACACTTCTTTTAAATCTCCAAATCTCTTTGAGCTCTATTAGTCCTGAAGACAAAAATTGGATTTATTCATCTCATAATTTTGATTATATATTCTTTGTTTCAGAAAGAAACCAGCATGTCTTCATACTAGTATTTTTTGCGGATACCGTAACACTCTCTCTTTAGCCTCCTCAGGAAACTTTTATATCATAAGACCTTTGAGAGCACTGTGGGGTAGGGGGCACAATAGAAAATGGGGGGAGGGGGGGATAGGGACCCTCAAATATCAAAGGTGGCAAGTCCCTTGTGTGCGAGAGATAATAAGTTTTTTTTATATTCTCTTATAGTGTGGTGATAGCAAAATTTGTGCCATTTCATGTAATTTCATTCCTTACGAAATTATTTATTTCTATTCCTCAATGCTGCAAAAACCTTCTTAGGCAGGACATCAAAACAACAAAACATTGCAATAAGGAATGAAGTTATTTTAAAAATCGATCCACCTACATTCCGTGCTTATCGGGATTAAAGGAGAGATAACGATGAGGCTCATCTCCATGTGATAAAACATAAATTTCAACAAACTCTTTAACGAAAATTGGTTAGAACGCTTATTTACAAATTTGCTGGGATTGCTTAAAGGGAAACCAAGGAGATTAACGAAGATGCAAT